ACCCTGGAGGACACATGTCACCTGCTCCCAACTCTGGGCTGGGGTGGTAGGAATTACAGTTGAGGATGAGCAAAGACAAATGCTTAATATTGAGAGGATTTATCAACGGTGACTTAACATTATTGATCTCTGGTGATAAAGTCCTAGCCATTTGTGAGGGCACTTTAATTAAACTCTTACACAGGTCTCAGTTCCAAGGGACAGAGGCTCCAGCCCGGTGCAGGCATTCTGACACCTGCCACACGGGTACTCTGACGGGCAGGGGGCAGGGTGTCCTTCATGTCACAGAGGCTGCAGGCTGCTGAGCAGAGTGCAGGGAGCTACAGTACAGACCTGGCACGGGGCGAGAGGCTGCTCTGTTCCTGAGCGGTGGTGATGGGCAAAGGTGGGAGGGGACGGGTGCTGGCCACCCTTGCTCCTGGGCCTGTGCCCCAGCTCAAAACGAAATAGGGGTTGTGTCCCCTCCGAGACTGCTAACCCCAAATTCCAGCACGGCAGCCTGCGGCAGTGCAGGGAGAGAGGGGCTCAGGGACCCCTGGGGCAGAGCTTTCTCTTCCTCACTGCCTGGGTTTTCTGGGCATGAAGGTGGGGGCTCTCCTTTTGCACACAGTGCTACAGACACTGGCCTGGCATGAGTGGGCACTGGAGGTGTGAGCAGGTGATGGTCAGTGTCCTCCTGGAAGCGCCAGTACCCTACAGACCTGCCAGGTCATCACAGGGCCTGGAAACACAGTACAGCCCTTTCTCTCCAGGGTCAGTTGGTCATCTTGGGAGGCGACTGTCACTCACCCCTGGGCCTGCGGGACGCTGAGCTGTGGGAACTGCACTGGGATGCCTCTCTTCCCCTCTTTGTAAAGCACTCTGCCAAGTTAGGGGGACAAAAGCTCTGTCCCCAGGCAGGAGCCACTGCTGAGATGCTCCCAAGTACACAGAAGTGTCCTTTGTTGACTTAATCCAGTAGAGGAAAGAATGGGACAATATTTTCCTGGCAGGCCACCTCTGCTGCTCACCAGCAGGCAATGAGCTGCCCCTGAGAGGTCTCCTGTGCCTCCCTGTCCGCTTTCCACATGCCCGTGTGACCACTCCATGGCTTCTCAGGGCAGGTTTTATTTGGAAATGATTTAGATTTGCAGAAAGGTTGCAAAGATAGTGCAAAGGCCCTGTACACCCTTTGCCCAGAAGTGATGCTGCTGTGCCAACATCTCCCTAACTGTGGCACATTTTGTCAAAACTGGAAATTAACACGAGTCTGTGAATTACAGACCCTATTAGAATTTTACTGCTTTTCCCCTGATATCCTTCCTTTTTTCCAGGATCCAACCCACAGTACTGCATTGCATCCCGAGGAGGTTTTTACAAAAGAGCTTATTGCTTCAAAGCTCACTGCTTCACGCAAAGCAGCAGAGCACAACCTAACGGAACATCCTGCGCAGCAGGCTGGCAGGAGCGGCAGGGGATGCGTGGTACCAGCATGAGGAGGAGCCCAGGTCCGGGCATGTGGGGGCTCAGAACCTCCTGGGAGGGCAAGCTTCCAGGGAGGGCTAAGGGTGCTGCTGGTGACTTGCACTTCCTTTGAAATCCACTCCCTGACCACATGGACGGGACTGGAGACGCCACGCAGTCTCCCTGGGATAGACACCAGCTTCCTCCAGGGATGATGAAAAAAAATGGCACGGACCCCAGGGAGGCCAATGAGATCAGGGTCAGTGAGTCCCGGCGGACCTCACCTGTCCCAGGAGAGTAACCCAGGGGACAGCTACAAGGGGAAAGGCAAGAGGCAACCACCAAATACCCTCGCCTCAGCTGATCAAGTACCACTCCCTGGAGTCCAGAAGCTTCTCATCCCATGAAGATAAAAAGCCTCATGCAGTGTATTTACTTTTTAAGCCACATACTGGAGCAGCCCAAATGCTCACCGGGAAAAGCATCCCCATTCCCAGTGTCACAGCTGCCAAGGGTCAGAGCCAGCACCCCTGTGCTCTCTGCACAGGGAGGGGTCTGCTGTGCCTGTGGGCTGTGTGCCCTCAGCCCTGACTCACCAACCTGGGGTGCACCTGGCTGCTGGAGTACCCCAGCACGCCCGCCCAGCACAGCTCTCCAACCTTCCCTCCCGTTCCAGAAACAAAGCCTCATGTGCCCTGGGGCCAAACATCCAGGCGGGGCTGGGCGGCCTTGGCCCCAGAGGCCACCAGCTACTGCACAGACTGCCTGTTTGCAAGCAGAACCAGCCAAGGCCAGGGTTCCATACCTCACCTACCACCTTCCCCAGCAGTGTTAACGCCAACGGATGCTGGCAGATACAGAGAAGACGATTCCTGAGCTTTTTTCTAAGTCCTCTGATCAAAGAGAAACATTCTTTTTCAGACTAAAAGAACAAGACATTTCACAACCACCTTCCACATAGTGATATTGCCATTACACCATCAAATATGATGTTGAAAAGTTATATATGCATTGTACTTCCATCTTCCCGAAAATTTTCTGTTACTTAATGGAAGCTAGTCATCCACTTTTAACTGTCTCCCCAGAATGACAAAATTCTTATTTTTATTATTTTAGCAAAGTCTTTGTTTTCTATTCTATTCAAATCCCATGAGAGACACCTTGGGCAGGTTATAAGCTCCCTGTGCCACTGTTTTCTCATGTACAAAATAGGGATAACAAAAGTTACCTACTCAGGTAGGTGTGATTTACTACAGGCTTAGATGGATTAATGCACACAAATTGGCACCTGGGACATACGCATTCATTAAATAATTATCTGCCCTCTTTGATAACCATTTACAGCTGCTTCTGCTACAAACCTCTTCAAGCTACAATCCACAGCCCTTTTCACCAACTGACCTACCCCTGGGCATAGTTCTTGGCACAAAAGGGGAAGGAGACAGGATTCTTGAGCATGGCAGATAAATAGAGGAGAAGCTGAGCTTGCCACAATTATGAAAGAATTTTTATAACTATAGTTAAAGGTCAAGGAATTATTTCATGAGTAACAGCTATTAAAACCAGTGGTAAGTTAGAAGATTCACTGTTGAATGCAACAAAATGCACATCTGTTGAATATCTGTTATGTCTCTAGTGAAATGATCCAAAAGTTTCTGTCTTTATTTGTAGACTTAGAATCTAAAGCCCAGAAATATGAAATAAATGGGCAAGTGACTCCAATTGCTTCCCACCCCAATACTCTCACTCAGTGATCCCAATCTCTGGCATCAAGTGAGAATGCAGACTCCTAGCTCCACCCCAGGAGGTCTGGTCAGAAGGCCTGAGAATGTGGAGCAGAGGTCTGACTTTTTAACCTGCCTCTCCAGGTGAGTGTAGGGGCGCAAGGAGTGCAGTCTGAGAAGCACAGCTAGGCAATAAATGCTCTCCGTCCCATCCGAGGGTCAGGGAGCAAGGGGACTCTGGTGAGGCTTCAGCATCCTAGTGGCTGGGAGGAAGGCCTAGAGGTGTCCCGTGTGGGAGGGCGCTGGCTTCTGCAACAAGCCAGGGATTATGAGCTTCCCGTTCAAAGTGAAGAAACTGGGGCTCAGGATTTATGAGGCCAGAACAGCGCTGTGTTCCATACCCAGGTCTCTAACTGAAGCCCTCTCTACCCACTTCAGGATCAGTCCCTGATAAGTTTCCTGGAACCTTCACCATGCTCAGGAAGGGAAAAACCATTACAAAGGCGGTTCTGGGGGACGAGGAGTGTGGGAGGCTGCACAGCTGTGCACACACTCTCCACTCAATGGGCGCTTTCCTAGCAGCCTCCCTCCTTTGAGGGTGTGCTGCTCCGGCACATAGCTCTGGGCCATTCCTATCGGGCACGTGTGCCTCAGGACCTATCATAAGGGTCAACAGGTTGCTTTAAATATCTAGGTTCTGATGCTAAATCAGGACACGTGGAAAGCAAGGCGAGCCAGACCTGAGCCCTGAGACATTTGGTCTGGGATGCTCTGGTCAGTCTGCGGAGCACTCTCCTGACTTCCTAACCTGGGCCCTGAACTGGAGCAGAAGGCAGCAGAAAAGTGAGGCTAAAGGTTCTTTGCCAGGCTCGGATAGAAAAGTGGAAATAACAGAATTTAAATCAAAGCACGAACACAGCTTCGCACTCTCCCTGTGTGCCCACCCTACCTAGAGATGGGGGTGGAATCCCCAGCAGGAGTCAGCTAGTGAATCAGGTGCTGCAGAAATCCCCATTCCATCAGGGTGCAGAAGGCTGGGGCTCAGGACACCTAGTAGGTGCCTCGATCTTCAGTCCCAGTGTAAACATTATGTCCTCAAATGGAGTCCTGCAAACTGGTGGCACTCAGGCCACGTCACATAAAGCTCCTATTAAACTCAACTCAGAACATTCTAACATGCAGTCATGGGTGCAGAGGCAGTGCTGGCAGAGCCACCCTGAACGCCGAGCTGTTGGGGGAGACTCAGTAAACAAGGTCAAGGTGAGCCCCAGCAGCTAGAACCACAGCTCTTTCAGGACACTTGGGAGAAAGCGAGCACTTTCGGCCATTGTTTCCCAGCGCTGGTTAAAACTAAGTACGAGTTGTCCGCGTCTCCCCCTGGCCCCGCCCATCCCCCCAAAGCCTCTCAGTCAAAAGAACACCGGAACTCTGCCTCGGGCAGTACCGAGCCACCCGCTTCTGAGTGGCACAGCCACGTTCTCCCGGGTCCCTGGTCTCCATGTGACTGACAGTCTAAGCCCGCTTCTAAGGCCGGGCTTTGCACACGCTTAGGAAAAGGATGCCGCAGGCTACGTTTTTGGTTACTGGCTCCGTGGAAAAGCCGACACCTGTAACGCCCAGGAGTGAGGGTGGGGGACCCCAGGGGAGGCAAACGCGATAAGTTCTTCGGGAAAAGCGAGCTTCTCAGAACCTGGGCTTGGCAGGGGCCGCCCGGGGACACACAGGAACACACACTCAGGCGGGCACGCACGAGCTGCCTCTGGCAAGGCCGCTCGGTGTCCCTGCCACTCCCGGGAGCGCGAACCAAACCCCGTGAGCGCGGGCAGGACTTACCGCGAGGACGCCCTGGGCCAGGAGCCCCACGGTCACGGCCCCCAGCAGCAGCCACCTGGATGGGGGAGGGGGAAAGTGCGCGGTGAGCGTGCGGCCGGCTTGCCGGGACCTCAAAGTCATTCGGAAGGGCCCCCGCTCGCGGGCCGCGGGGACGGGGCGGAAGGCCGCTTACCGCCGCAGGGCAGCGCTGGACGCCGGGCACCGGTCTCCGTCCATGCTCCCAAGCCGGCCGCTCCGGGCTGCGGGCGGTCCCGCCTCGTCTGGAAAACGAGAGACAAAGCGGGCTTAGCGGGAACCGGGGAGGGGAGCATCCTCGCGGGCCGCGTCCCTCTTCCCTGCAGGGGTGACCGAGGGCCGCCCCGCGACCGCACGGAAGGACGAGGCCTTCCCACCGAGGCCGCTGCTGGCGCTGCCTAGCCGCGCCCGCTCGGTGCCCACCCCCAGCGAAGGGCGCCCCCGGCCCGTGCCCGCAGCCCGGGGTGGCTCTCACCTCCCGCGCGGCCGCACGCCCGGAGGCTCCCGGGCCGCGCTCGGTCGTCGGCCCGCGGGCCGTGCGCGGGGACAGGGTCGCGCCGCGGCGGCCGAGGGTGCGGAGCGCCGAGCCCTGGCGTCCCGGCGCGCGGCGGCACAATCCGCGGGCCGCGCGCTCCCGCCGCCTCTTACCCGCGCCGCAGGGTCCTCCCCTTTGAGGCGCCGCCCGCGCGCCGCCGAGGGGAGGGGGCAGCGCCAACAAATTGGGGAGCTCGCGGGGCCGCGCTCAGGTCTCCGCCGCGAGCCGCCGCGCCCGGGACGGTGCGCAGCCTTCGCGCCCCGGCCCTGCGGAGTGAGCCGCCCGCCGCGGCCCCCCGAGCGCCCCGCCGCGGCCCCCCGCCGTCCCCGCCGGTCCCCGCCGCCCCGGGCGCGCCGCCATGGGGCCCCGGCTCGGCCTCTGGCTGCTGCTGCCCGCCGCCCTCCTGCTCCACGAGGAGCGCAGCCGGGCCGCTGCGAAGGTGAGTCCCGGCCGGCTCCGCGCCCGGCATCTCGCCTGCGCCCCGGGCGCCCCGCGCGGCCCCTTTGTCTCCGGCCGGCGCCACCCGTCCGCCCCACAGGGGTCGCGCGGGGCACGGCCAGGTGCCGCCTCCGGGCCGGTCCCCCTGCCGGTCCCTGTGGGCTGCGCCGCGCATCCAGCAGGGAGCCTCCTTTGTTGTGGGCTGGGTAGGGCCGAGGTGGGGGCTCGTCAGGGCCCGGGGCAAGCGAGCCGACCTCGGTGCACCCCGCGCAGGCTGCGGCGCCCGGCAGGGAGCGGGATTTGAACGCGCGCCGCGGGGCGCTGCGCCCGAACCTGCCCGGGGTGCCGGGCCCGGCGCAGGCCGGAGGGGTGGACGCGCGCCCCGCGCTGCTCGGAGCCCCACACATGTGCCAGGGGCCGCCCTGGCCGTGTTCCCCCAGTTCTTTGGGGGCTGCGGTGGTTGATGCTGAACGGGTTCTGGGCCGTGTGCTGCAAGCAGCTGCATCTCAGCTTTCCCACGCCCGAGGCAGAAGTGGGCTCCTCTGCGGTGCAGCTTTAAGTTACCATACTCGACGCGTTTTTTATTAGCTGTGAAAAAATATTATAACTACATTTATATTCGAGTGTGAAACCAAAACGAAACTCCATCTCATTGTTCTGTGTACAAACTGTTTTCCTCGTTTTCATTTCCTCCGGCTGTGTGCTTACCGGGAAGGGATCTGGGGGTCCGGTTTGCAGGATAAAAACTTCCAGCCCGGGACACGGTCCTGGATGTATGTTGTTCGTTCCCTCTTTTCCTTCCCTTTCAGAAAGAATAAAGAGCTCAGCTGTTCCCCAGTAGCAAAGCCTTGAGGACATAACCCCGGGAAAATGTGGCTCTAAATACATTTTGCATTTACCCTCCAAATGTTTAAAGATGATTTTGCCGTATTTCCCACTTGCTCTTTGACCGTTTCATATTCTATCCTGCTTTTAGGTTTTGTTTGCTAGTTTTCCTTACTTTCTTTTGGAAAATGATATTCACAGACTGCAGTTCACTGTATATAAATTATTAACAGTTACATGCCAGAATAAACAGGTAGCAAGCACACGCCTCCGTCCAGAGTGTGGCCCCTTGCTAGCAGCTCCTTCACTGGGGATGGAAAAGACTAATGGGCGCACCAGCGTTACCTTCAGGCCATTCCTCCTTGCCCAGGGTCCAGCCCGGCACTATGGTCAAACTACTCTCCAGTAATGACAAAATACTTTCAAAAGAGGAGGTCCCAGACACTTTGTCTGGATGTAGAAATATTGACCAAAGATTGAACATGTCCAAGGAGAGATTGCTCAACCTGATAGCAAGTAAATGAGAGAAAGTTCTCTGCTTGGAAATGTGAACCTCTGGATTTAGATTTTCTCTGATAATATTAGCAAAGCAAAGCTAATTGTAAGAACTAGCTTTTCCAAAAGCCAGGACTTTAAGGAACCACTCACTATGGGAACCACCTGGGACATCATCACTCACATCTGCTGAGTTTAGGATTATTTCTCCTTTAATTATTCTTTGAAGCCCAAGTACATTGCTGTCTCCTGGCTTTGCTCTGTCCCTTAAGGAGTCACATAGTATTTCAAGATATATAACATGTGGACACCCTCCGATCACCAACTGACTTAACAGATATTATTATTTTTCTTGGCTTAATTAGGTATGCATATGAGTTATGGGTGTACAAGAAAATCTATTTAAAATAGTTTCTGGCTAATTTTTAAATTTGTTCATTTTTCATTCCATCAATAATATTTTTGCTTACCTCCTTCCAAAGTCAGCTGTTAGGTAGACCAAAAAGCTAAAATAACTTCAGTATTGATCCAAGCAGCACGTTATTTTAAAAATACATTTTGAATGATGAGATGCTGCAAATAGAGCAAATCCTAATTTGGATGCCAACAGGAATGATTCTTGGGTTATATCCCCCTTTGGAGTAACTGAATCACACTGACCTGCATGTGTGTGCACAAAGCATCTACTGGGGGCTGGGCATGAGTTGCATGTATGTATTTTTTCATATGAAAGGCTGTTTGATTTTTCTGTTTGACCATATCTAGTATGGTTATACTGTTCATTTACTAGTGGATGATTTTTTAAACCAGTGGCTCTGTCCCATACTGCATCTGCCCCCAAGTTTTATTTCTTAAGAAAGGAGGAAAGGGGTACAGGTCTGAGACAGAAACGGCCCACAGCGCTGCGCCGAGGGTGCCCTCTGATCTCTGATGCCGTCACACTGAGCTGAGTGAATTGTTCCTCCCACAGCCTCAGACTCCTCCCTCCAACTGTCTGTGTGCCACTTCTTCATAAGTTATTCCTCGGGATCAGAAATGTGAACACTCCCCTAAGTGTGGTGGTGCCCGCCTAGCGGCTTTGGCATCCCCAGACCATTAGTCACTATCCCGGGACTGAACGACCCAGAACTCCAAGGAAATGAGGTTTAATTCCCCCTGGAGGATGGACCGCATTCTGCTGCGGGGTCGTTTAGATGAGAAGGCTGATTTCTGAGTTGGCCCCAATGACGGCAGTGTCCCCAGTATCTCAGGAATGATATTGGTGAAGACATGATGTAGACCATTTTGTCTTTATGCATGGAGCAGGGTCTGGATGAACCAGAAGAAATAATGTACATAGATAATGTATGTGTGGGAGTGGCCCCTCACGGAATCATTAGTGGTGATAATCCATCACATTCACACACAGAAAGTGTGGTTTGGGGACAGAAGGATCATAATTTTGTGTCTTGCTAAGCAGAGGTTTAGCAGGAGTCATGAACTCTGTGCCTCACTTTCCCTGGCAGATCTGTCCCTTCCTTCCTTCATGCTGCACCTGTGCCCTGAGCACTGTTTAGGCCATGCACTCTGCCTGGGCTGGCCAGGCAGCAGTGTGGCAGACCCGCTCTCTGTCCTCAGGAAGGTCGTAGTCTGATGAGAAAGACTGAGTAAGGACCAGGAGAATACAGCTTGGGCTGGCAAAAGTGGCATCTGGGGCAAACCCAGGGTCATGGGAGCACCCATCCAGCATAGGGGGACAGAGGGAAATTTCTGGGCATACATCCCACCTCTCAGTCTGAGTGAGAGATAAGAACCATAGACAGCATCATATTTTCACATCCAGATCAGAATTATGGGGCCCTGTACGCAGCGGGTGTGGCGATTCTCCCTTGTGCTTTGCATTTAAAAATGGCCCTAAAGCTCTTCCTTTGAGATATCAAGATGTCATTGTTACCGACAATCATTGTAGCTGAACTTTTCTCTCGGAGGGGTAGAGGGACACTGAGGGAAAAGTCTAGGAGAGCAGAGATAAGAAGCCCCTAGCCCCCCACAGGCCGGGGGCAGACTGTCTCCTGAGGCTGCAGGTACACTGGGATGTTAGGAAAGCTGCTGCCTGGATGGGTGCTTCTAGGCGGGGGTGCCTTGAGGACCTGACCCGGAAAACCTACCCCCACTTGGACAAGGGCATGAGAAAATTCACAAAACGTCCATTATCCATTAACAAGTCTGTCTGCAGATTTCTTGGGACTGGTAGGGGTGGTCATGACTTTACAAGTTCCTTATTCAGTTACGAGAGGGTAAAGAATTTGCAGACAGATTGAATCCACAAGTGATGCTCTAAAACAAATCCTTTTAGAAATCAAGCAGTGGATAGCAACACTTGTTCTAATGAAGTATACGGCATTCTGTTATACTGACTGTTCCAGAAATCTAAAAAGGATCAGCCTCATTAGAAGGTGGCTCAGCAGATTTGGTATTTTGAGTTCTAGGGATAGAGTAAGCAAAATTAACAATAGAAGGCCTAAAATAATATCATTAGAGCATTGTTCTTCCTGCCATTATTAAACAACCACTAAAAAATGTCAACTATAGAACAATACAAAAGACATATTCCTACCATTCTTATGCATACAATGAAAGGGGATATTAACCAGAGCATGTTTCAACAGTTTCTTTTGAGGAGCTGAACACTGTGAGAACCACTATGGGGTGAATGTTTTTATAGCCTGGTGCACAGTGAGCTCCTTCCATTCTGGACTCCCCCCGACGCCCCCCTCATTCTCCTGCTCTGAGTCCAGCGCCTTGTTTTTCTTTCTCTGCTTCTCTGTTCTTCTTCCTCTTCCCAGACGCCTCCAGGTGGCCATGGCATGCGGCCAGCCTTCAGCAGGCATCTCTCTTTCCTCTGTGCTGTCTATCCTCTCTCCTAGGGGTTGAGTGTCATCATTCGCTGTTCCACGGAGGTGACTCCAGACCTTCTTGAACTCCAGCCTTGTACCTGCACATTCCCATGGACATCTCACCTTGGCTTTGATCTCAGACTTAGCAGATATGTCCAGAATTGAACTTACCATCTTTTGCCCAGCCAGACCTATGGCCCTTCCCAGCTCCCCACTTCTGGCCCCTGGTGCCCTGATGTCTGCCGAGCCTCAGCCCAGGTACCAGGGTGTCATCAGGGGCTCACCATCTCTCTCTTTAGCTTCCATGCCTC